GAATTCAGTGGGAAGTTGCTTCTGATGAGACCAGTACATCTCTGGTCAGAAAACTGCCCTGTATCTCCTTGCTCTACAGGGAGCTGTGAAGGTGTTAAAATTGTCCCACTAAACAGGTTATGTATGAGCAGCCTATGGTGCTGCAACAGCATATCCCACTTAGACACGTTGTGTTGTAAATACAAAGCAGTTACAGGAGTTAGAGGATAGCTAAATTGGAAGAACTGTGAATTTAAAATAAGAAATAGTGGCTCCTGGGATCAAGTTTACCCTGAGCATATGCAGACAAAGTAACAAGCAATTTTTAAAAAGTAAAATCTAGAAAACTGTTTTCCCTTGCAATAAAGTTATGAGCAATAACTAAAAAAAAACCAAAAGGGAACACACTTTGTATCTTCTATTAGAGATCAGATCTGAAACGAAAGACCTTGAGTTATACAATTAAGTATTGATTTTGCTGATCTATGTTTAATTCTCATAGCAATTTTGTTGTTTTTACCCAATAGTGTTTTGCAGTTATACTTCACTTGAAGCAATGCCCTTCTTGCTTTTGTGTTAATCTAAAAACTAAATTGCCCAATGCATGAGAGACATAAATAAAGTTCGTTTTGTTCCTTTTTGTAACTGATTCTGAGCTCTTTAAAGTGCTGGTTAACTAAACTTAGACAGCTGGAAAATACATTTATCCTGCAGAGTGGCTCATTGCTATTTCTGGGCTCTGGTGGGACTCATAAGCATAGCCTGACCTCCAGATAACCAAAGCTTCTGTGTGTTACCACATTCAAGAAATGGCCTTGCTGCTGCTTTCCTTCCTGCACACGAGTGTGGGGTCCCCTGTGCCTGTGAACCAGCCCACCCTTCCCTGCTCCTCCTTGCCACTACACCTGAGGAATCCTTGTGCTGTTCAGGAGGGCTGCAGCTCTTCCTGCTCCTTGATCACACAGCTCTGAAAAGGCATTCTACCCACATGTAACCTCTCATTTTTACAGTTTGTAGAAAATCTAATTTGATGTATTAATGTAGGAATAACACCTATTTATAATGTATCAGTGTAACTGCAGGCTAGTTTTGTTTTCCTAATTTGCTGTGCTTGAAGTGACATGCCAGATTTTATTACATCACTAATGGGTTTTAGTTATTCCCTTTAGGATGTTGCCAGCAAGGAAACATTATTTTGATTCATGACTCATGGGTTTATTTCAAAGTGATGTGGCTCGTGATGAATGTCTGTGTATGTCAGGAAGAGTTTCTCCTCTTCTGACAACTGGTCTCTGCTCCCAGGTGGTGCAAGGCACCCCATACTGGGCAGGTAAGAAGCTCCAGCTGTGGGAAGCTCTCCACCTATACAGTGGAGTAGAACAACAAATGCTCCCCATACCCTAAGGCATAATGGTACAGATTTTCCATACAAAAATACACTTAGGATAAGTAAAAGAAGCTAACCATTGATTTGCTTTAGGGTGATGGGCCAGAGCTGTTACAGAGGCAATGTGAAAACTAGTTTTTGTCTGCATTGAGCCTTTTTTTCCTTTTTCTCCATTATCTGTCTCTTGTAGACCAAAATCTCTGACTACATGTTTTTGTCTTTTCCCTTAATTAATACTTAGGAAAACATATAGCGTCCACACCAAATGCAGCACTCAGCTTGTTCACAGAACAGATCAGAACAGCCAGCAGCAAAGTCAGCACTTAAGGGCTGAAATGGTTTCAAGCATTGCTGCTGAGAAGGATCCTGTGTGAGAGCAAGCACGGGCTGCTGGTCCCACCTTAGCTCTTGTAGCAGCACTGAGCAAATGATGGAGCCTTTCTCTTCACTGTGGTGACAAAACCACCTGTTCAATACACAGAAAGCCACTCCTGACACGGGAGAGATCTGAGTGGAAAACATGGCTCAGAGGTTAGGTGCTCCCTGCATTTCTTACCAAATCTCACCCAGCTCTTCTGGGTGTAGAACACACCCACCTCACGTTCCACTCTGCAGAAGCAGCTGCTGAGTCACTTCAGTGTGACTCTCAAATGCATTAATGAACTAATTACTTTAAAATAAACAATGCTAACATCTTTGGGCTAACCCTTGTTCTTTGTTATAGCTGTGACTCAGCTGCAGTCAATAGCAAATCTACATAAAAAACCCCAAAGATACTACGTAACAACATACACCATTTATCAATCAAATTCTAGCAATAGTTGTTTTGCTTTTGCCTTTTGAATCATCTAGCAGCTTTTAGGACTGCCATGAATAATAAGAAACTTATTTAAGGATGAATCTAAATAAACACTCTTTGGTAATTTTTTACAAGTTGTATCTATAGTAACTAGAGAAAAAATTCTTAACATTTCTGTTCTGACACACAACAAGGTTAAAGAAATGGCCAATGACTTTTCAGCTCTAGGAATGTACATAATTGTGTTATTCTGAGAGAAAATGATTTGTTGATTGTGCAGATTCTTACATTAATATCTCTGCCTAAAGTTTTATTTTTGCTGATGTGTTTTCTTCTATGTGTTAAAGAAAGGATGTTTCAGGATTTTTTACAGAAGGATGTAACTGGACATGAGGACACCTAAAAAGGACAATTCTATGTCCAAAAAATACCCATAACTTATTTCTGAATTATTTCTTGTTTTGGTAATAAATTTTGCTACCACTGTTAGAATTAGTTTTCCCTTTAAGCCCTGATGTATTGTAGATGTACTGTTCACTACTCAGGATCTTTTGCCAACAGGTTTTACTGATGGGCTTCAGTTCAGTTCAATTTCACTTGATTCAATGTCTTTCCTTAAAAATTTTAGAGTACTTTTGTTCCCTGCGGTTTCTCTAATGTAATTTATAAAATAAATGAGAAACTAGGGTGTGATTAATGTAGGATTGTAGCCTAGGTTGTGATTGAAGGGTATAAAAAAACTATTGATACTACATATTTGCAGAATATACCAATGAATTCAGTCTGGTCTGTTCTGAGGTGTAAATCCATCCTTCAGTAGGATAGCCAAAATCCTCCTCTGATTGTGATGCTTCACCCAGACTGCTCTGTCCTGCAGGTTCTCCAGGTGCTCCTCCAGCCCAGGAGCTGAAATTGGCTCCATTTGAATCAATAAGAGTTTTATCACAGGCCTTACTAAGTCCAGTATTGAGTCCTGCAGTCCCAAGTCTGTGCTAACTCGTCACATTCCATTTATCTAAAGAAAAGCTGTGAAGTGGGAAAATTAAAGACAAAGAAACATCATTTAGTCTGCCATATAATAAAGTATTTTAGGCTTAGCACTGTGAAAAGCAAAAAGTGCTAATGTGTGTTATTGATGCCATGCTGAGGATTTTCTCATCTGGCCTACAGAGAAGTGAAACAGCTTTTTCAGTATTTCAAGTGAGGGCAGAGGGAAGAAAATTTTATGGTGAAATTGTGAAAAATTTCTATTGTAGGGTCCTAAATTTGTGTTCATTCCCATTACCAAGGGTTGTATTCCTCTATCTCAGAAAACATTTTAATTACAGATATTGAAGACCTTAGTTTTAACTGTCATCTAAAATTAGAATCCAACACAACATTCCCTAAAACCTTTTAGACTCAAGTTTAATTAATGCACCAAACAGAAAATGTTCATTTGCTATGACTTTAGGATCTCCTGTTGCTTTGCTTAAGTTTGTTCGAAACATTTTCTCAAAATAGTAATCTAATCCATGCATTGTCATCTTATGAAATGTGACAAGATCAGAGCAAAAACAGTCTTTGCAGTGGCATTTCAATTTTTATCTAACTAGCCATCAAAACAAGCAATCAAACTGTAACAATTTGTCTTCCTCTCACCAAAGATTTCCAAGGAGAAGCAGCACAGTGTGCACAACATTTCACTGACTTGGAGCTTGAATTTGCAGAAAATTCTAAGGACCCTTTACAACTGCACATGTAATGACCCACAGCATCCACACATCTGCCCAAGCTGTATCTTCAGTGTGCTTAAAATGCCATCTCATTTTCTAGCTAAACAAAAATGTTGATGCCTTGGATTTACAGTAATTTACTGATTCTGTCTTTGCCATCTGATGGCAGTACCAAAAATGAGGAATGGCTTTGCACGCTGATGGCATATCTCAGAGTGCTTGAATCTTATCTGCCCAGGAGGTTATTGAATGTTGATTGTAAAACGTTGAATGCTATCCCATATATCTCTGGTAATACGATCTGTAAGAGAGTTAGTTACACAGATTTTGAAACACTCTGTATATGAACAGCAGGTCATTTTTATTGAGCTGCTCCCTACACAGTTCCCTAATGATTCCTTGGACAGATCTCTGATTGCAAATACCAGTAGCTAACAAAGGGATAAAATGACTCTGGTACAATCCTACTGTGTGTTTTCAATATCAAGTGCTAATACATTGTCCAGTGTTCCCACAGAATTACACCACTTCTGTGAGAAGGCCTGGCCAATATCTGATTGATTCTGGTCTGTGGGGATGGGCCCAGTTCAGTGCAATTTCCTCTCTTGTTGCTTTCTTGTCTATTAGAGAGGGTTTGGGTTTGTGGAAATCGATAGGCTTATACATGCAAAATGTGAGGCTATTCCCTAGCAAGTTTCTTTTGCATCCTTAATTTACGGAAAATGCTGTTTTCTCCTCTGCACCTTTTTTTTTTTTTTTTAACTCTACTTAAACAAATACCTGTTTAAACATACCCCCCAAAGTATTAATGCAGGAGAAGATCTGAATTCCTGTGAGGATGCTGGAGATGTTTAACTCATGTGTAGCCAGGGTCTGCTACTTAGGACATTAATAGCACTTGAGTGTTACATAAATGGAGTCCTATTTGTCTTAGCAGAATCATTAAAGTTATGATTTATCCTAAAATGGACACTAATGTTCTATTTAATCATAACAGTTATTTAAGCATCTAACAATCTATTTTCTCTCACCCTGTGAACTTTAGAAAGATGGCAATTAATGGTGTACAATAGGAAACTTTTAAAGGAATATGCTTCCAATATTTCTCTCACTTTTACAGAAACTGAAGCAAACTGAAGAAACAAAAGAAGATTCCCAGCACAGAGTATCTAAAATTTCCCTGGAGTCTCTCAATAAATTTAACAGCAATAATGCACTTTTATTAGAAAAAGAGAAGAACTGTCTGAACAAGGTTGAAGGACAGAAGGAAGAGAATGGAAAGAAAGAAGCAGCTTCCTTGAACAGCTCGGGTCGGCAGGATGTGGACAATTTGGAATCCCTGAGTGATTCCCTGTACGACAGCTTCTCCTCCTGTGCCAGCCAAGGCTCCAATGACGTTTAGGGACACTTCCAGCAGGCTGCAGCACGGAGTGGAGCTGAAGGTGAGCATGGAGTGAGGAGAGAGGAGACTGTGCTTGGCAATTCCCCCTCGAGCTCGCTGTGCTCATGTCAGGGTGTTCTGACCTCCCAGCACACAGCAATAAGGCAGGGCAGCATCACAGTGGTGCAGGGGACTCAACACACCCAACACAACGAATACACAGAATAAAGTCTTAATTTTGCACTTTTGTGAATATTTGTACAGTTGTAAATACCTTGGGAAAATATATTTGTAGGGATACACGACAGCAATAAATATTAAATTGGTGCTATGCTCCTGTAATGGCAGATTACTAACTTAAACAAATTGGTGTGTATATTAACAAGAAAAGCTAGTAGATTTTTTTTAAAGAGTTATAATTGTCATAGTCTTAAGACTGTCTGTAGAAACACTGCATTACCATAAACTTGAGCCTGCCAGATTGTCTTTAATAAACTCTCGCATACTCCCTTTTAGAAAACATATTTTATTTTTTCTTTTTAGTGCAATTCCATACAGGTATTCTAGGGAAACATGCATTTCAGTTAGTACAACTTCACAACAGGTGTCTTATTTCAAAAGGGTTTTGACTTTTGACATGGCAAGAAAATGAATAGATTAAAAGGCCTGATACTGCTGGCATTGGCTTCATCAATCATGCACATAACTGTTTGAAAGATCAGGGTCAAAGCAATTCACTGCTGACACAAACAGGAGTCCTGTAGGAATGAGAACCACATAAACCACCCTGCACTTCTGACTGCAACGTGGCTTTTCAACTTCCACCTCCTCTGTACTGTACTCATTTCCCATCAAATTATAAATGTACCATACTGTGTTATCTTTTCTAGTCTCTGTTTGGTCTTAAGCAAATTCTGAATGCTAAAATTGTTTTTTAAGAAAACACAACAACTCCTGTTTGTGACACACTAAGATGTTGGTGCTAACCAGTACTAGTTCAAACATATCTTGGAGCAGGGGGATTGGGCTGTATTGGGTGTTTTTGTTTTTTTCTACAAAGGTTGTTTATATGTAAGGGAGAGTCTATTGCAAAGGTTCTGTGTATTTTTTCTAGATGTGAAGTATTTATAACTGCTTTTTGTACAGCAATTGTAAACTAGATATATTTGGGGTATTTCTAGACTCTACAGTTTCTTTAGCACATGCTTGTTAATCTTTGAAATATTGTATGATCAGTGTTACTATTTTGTGCAAATTGTTATATTTTAATTCATTTCTGCCATAAACTTGCATCGTCTTTTTCAACTTTTAAGAAATTTTCATTGAAACATCTTTCGTAAATAAAACTTCTCTTGCCTAACGGTGCCTGCTGGGGGGTTTTGGGAAGGGGATGCTGTGACAGCTTGGGCTGGGGTCAGGAGGTACCCAGTGAGCCGCCCCCGCTCCGGGACAGCGCACGGGCGGGCAGTGTTCGGAGAAGTGACACGGGGCTGTTAAACGGCGATTTTACCTTAATTAACTCTTCCTTGGAGCAGAGCTGTGAAACGATCACTGGCAAAGGGGGCGACGCACAGAGACGGTCCCACAGGGACGATGCGGGGGCAGCACCCCGGGCTGCCCCCGCCCTGCCCTCCCCACGGGCGCTGCCCAGCCCTCGACGGCTCTCGTCGCCTTATCCCGCCCCATCCCATCTCTCCCATCCCATCCCATCCCTCCCCTCCTGCCGCCTCATCCCGCTTCCCCCGCCTCAGCCCATCCCGCCGCGTGTCCGCGGGGGCGGCAAGGTCTGAGCGCCGCTCCGGCGCGAACGCGGCCACCGCGCCCTTTCCCCCGCGTTTTATTACGCTGGAATTCCCTTTTAGAGGGCTGGGAGGAGGGAATGGCGGGGCCGCGCCTCCCCTCGGTCCCTCCCGGGGTCGTGGGTGCTGCGGGGCGGTCGTGGGAGGCGAGCGGCGCCTGGCAGCGGGCGCGGCCCGTCAGTCCCCGGCTGCCACCTGTGGGCTCGGCCGGGCGGGGACACGGCAGGGACCGGGCGAGTCGCGCACGGCGCGGGGTCTGTGCCCGAGATGAGGAGCCGAGGAGCCGGGCGGGGATGTGATGTGATGTGATGTGATGAGCAGCCGCGGCGGGCAGAGGGTCGCGGGGCCCCTCGGCAGCGCCGTGCGAGACGGAGCCGGAGCTGCGGCGGCTCCCCTCCCTCGCTGAACTTCGCCCGTCCCCGAGGCGCTCCCGGCGAGGTGCGGGGCGGCTGGCGGGGATCCCCGCCCCGCTCCGCCGGCATCACATGGTGCTGGGGGAGGGAGGGGGGAGCCGCCCCCCAGCCCTCGCTTCTCCTACAGTTTCTTCCAGTCTCAGCGCTCAACTCCGGCGAGGCTGGAGCGCGGCGCGGGGCTGGGCAGGGCGGGCTCCGCCGCCGGCTCCCGGGGCGCCGCTCCGCAGCGGAGGCGGCGGGGAAGCGGCACAAGTGCGCGGCGCCTCCGCTGCATCTCGGCTTCTGATGCCCCTTCGCGCCTGCACGCCAGCCCGGCGGCCGCGGCTCCGGGAGGATGCGGCTCTTCCTCCTCGCTGCAACTTTCTGGGGATTGTGCCTGGCTCCAGGTAAGGGCTCCGCGCCGCTCGCCCGGGGGTGCCCGCGGCCAGCGCGGCGCTGGGAGCTTCCGTCCCCTCGTAGCCCCTCGACGGAGCGGCTACTGGGCGTAAAAAGGAACGGGGCGGCGGAACCCCCGTCCTGCCCGCGGCCCGCAGAGCCCCCGCCGCTGTCTCCAGCGGGGCGAGGCGAGGAGCGGCGCGGTGCTCCCGGCGGATGCCGCCCGCTGCCTCGGCGGGCAGTGGGTCGGTGCCAGCGGGCGCTCCCGCCGCCGCAGCGCTCCCAGCGGAGGGCGGGCACGGGCCGGGGTCCCCGCCGCGGGACGAGGGTGCGGGAACGGCCGGGAACGCTGCTGGCGAGCCGCGCGGAGCGCCTCGTTTGCATGATAAAGGAGGGATGCTCCGCCGGCGGGGGATGCTCCGCCGCTTTAATTGTGCATGGCAAAATAGTAATTAAATCATTTGTAATTAATTAGTAGCTAAGTAAACCCTTCGGTACAGATAAGAGCGTATCTACGAGCCGGGTTGCTCTCTGCGGGGCGCGGGCGGCTTTCAGCCCGCTGTGCCGAGGGGAGCCGCGGGGCGGGCGATGGGCAGCGGCTGCGGGGCTCTGCCGGTGCCGGTGCCGGTGCCGATGTCGGTGCCGATGTCGATGCCGGTGCCGGTACCGGTGGCCGTCGCCTCCTGGCGGCGGCGTCTCCAGCACCGAAGCGGAGAAGCGAAAGGAGCATCAGCTCAGCTGAGCGGGCGGCACGCTTGTTTTACTTTATATTTGTCAAAGGGACACTCTGAGCTGTTGAGTAGCCGAGAACAGCCGAATGCGAAGGGGGAAAGATTAGGAAGATTTCTGGCACGTGTCGGTTGTTTGGTTTTCTTCGGTGTTTGGTTTTTGTTTTGTTTTGGTTTTTTAATACTGTGGCTATTATTTAAGGGCATTATTTAGATGGGGCACCCGGCTGAGCAGATTGTGTCCCTGCCCATGGCAGGGGCTTGGAATGAGATGATCTATAAATTCCTTTCCAAAAGAAAGCATTCTATGGTTTTAAACAAATCCCTATCTGTTCCAGGTTCGGGTTTGCAAATACAGTGTTACCAGTGTGAGGAGTTCCAGCTAAATAATGACTGCTCCTCTCCGGAGTTCATCGTGAATTGTACAGTGAATGTTCAAGATATGTGTCAGAAAGAAGTAATGGAAAAAAGTTTTGGTAAGAATTTAATAATTATTCTTCTGTTTATCTGGTTTAGGCAGCATTTGTTGCTTTTGGCTCCACCCATTTATGGTGTTCAGCTTCATATGAATCTTGTGTCCCTACCTGAAGGGACTGGATTTAATGTCTTATACTTCTGAGCGGCTTTGCAACTCAATGAAGTTAAGCATTTTCCTTTAAAAACTGGTGTACAAACTGAAGGATGCAAGGCAAATGTTGATAAAGCTGCTTAATACACAGTCTTATGGGTCTCTGATATAGTTTCCCAGCACTGGGAAATTAATAACAACAAGTTAGTTTAATCTCATTACAGTTAATTACATGGGCTTTTTCCCCAAGAGATAGAAGAGCATTAAATTAGTAATTCCCTCCTTTCTTTTATTTACTCAAGCAATTTATATACTCTGAAGATTCATCTTAAGGGAAGGAAAGTGTAGTAGTGATCTTTGCTTTCATCCACTAAAGCAACCATCAAGTAAAAGGGAGAAAGAGTTTTCTTTTTAAAAAGTGGGGGGGAATTTAGGGGGGAAGAGAAGGGCACAAATGGATTTGTCATACCAATTTTTAAGATTTTTTTTCCCCCTTACTGAAATTAGTATTTAAGTTCGCATATTAGGACATCAATGGGTCCAAGAGGAAATCAGCTGTGATTCTGCACCTTGCCTCTGTTGTCTTTTGGGCTGTTCTATAAATGGCTGGGGTTTGTTCAGCATCGTGGAAGGCATTTGGGATTTAGCCTTACACTGCTGTGTGTAAGCTCCTCTGTAGCTCTCTACACGAGCAGAAGACAGGAGCTCTCTTAGGGACTCTGGGGCAGTGTGAGATGGCAGGAAGGGAGCTGGAGCTCATGGAGCCTCCTGCTCCCACTGCAGGCAGCTGAGAGGGTGTCAGGCATTGGAATGGATGAGGAGCAGCCCCAGCCTGGATGTGCCCCCTGTGCCAAGCCTGGGGAGCAGAGGGCAGCCTGGGGCTTCAGAACCCTGCCTGAAGGGGATGCTGCTCTCTGGGATGCCCATCTCACAGCTTTGGGGTTTTGCTGTTAATATAGACTGAGTCACAGTCTGTCCTTCCCCAGCAAGTCCTCCAGGAGCAGCAGGATGCCTCTGTGTGCAAACGTGTGCAGTCATCCATCCTGAACAGCAGCAATGCTTCCTGGGCTGAGCAAACTCCTCTTCCTCCTCAGTCAGCTGGTCCCACCTGTGCTGGTGATTTCAGGTCCCTGTGTAACCAGTCCTGATAAATAATAATTGTTAGGCACCAAAAATAGCTGAACTGCTGACACTCT